GATCATAAAATCTCAAAGGGAATCTGGAGAAGACAAAGTCAAGTATTATAAAGAATTGTGCGAAGACCTGGGGTTAGTAAACCAAAGGGGAATCACATGCTCAACCTTTCTAAGGCTGAATGAACTGAAGAAGAAATTAAGCCTTGGGTTGCAATATTGAAGAAAGTAACGCTGTAGGATAAGCACTAGATTGCAAGGTTGGTTTGATCTGCAAAGTCACTGGTTCAAATTAGCCAGCCCTCCTCAGAAACCTTTTATAGGGTTGCTATGAGTTGGAATGTACAAAATATTGAACAACATCAGAAGCATCAAAAAAGATGGAAATAATACACAATCATTATTCAAAAAAAATAATTTATCAGTGCTCAACTATTTCAAGAGGTAACATATGATTAATAACTGATGGTATTGAAGGAAGAGGTCCAAGCTGCATTGAGGGCCTTGGCAAAAACCAACACTCCTGGAATTGATGAAATACAATTTGAAATGATTCAACAAACTGATGCAACACTGGAGGTACTCTCTCATCTATGTAAAGAAATTTGGAAAACAGCTCCTGGCCAACCAATTGGAAGAGATCCATATTTGCATTCATTGCAAAGCAAGGTGACCCAACAGAGAGCAGAAATTATCGAGCAATATCATTAATATCACATGCAAGTAAAATTCTGCTGATAATTCAAAAACAGTTTTGGCAGTGCATCAACATGAAGCTACCAGAAATTCAAGCCAGAATCAGAAAACTTGGAATTAGGTGTATTATTGCTGTATATGTTACCTCTTGAAATAGTTGAGCATTGATAAATTATTTTTTTTGTATAATGATTGTGCATTATTTCCATCTTTTTTGATGCTTCTGACGTTGTTCAATAAGATCTAATGGATCTTAGTTTAAAGCTGAAAGTGCCAGAAAAATGTGTTCTTGGGCTTTATGAATATACAAAAGGTTTTTACAGTGTGGATAATAACAAACTATGGATAGCATTGTATAGAATGGATATTCCAGAACACTTCACAGTGCTCATGATGAATCTTTTTATTGACCAAGATTCAGTGTTTTGAACAGAACAAGGAGATACCGGATGATTTAAAATCAAGAAAGCTATGTGCTGTAGCTGTTTTCTTTCACCATTCTTATTCAGTCTTTATGCTGAATAAATAATCCAAGAAGCAGGAATATATGAAGAAGCACATGGAGTCAGAATTTGAGAAGGCATCATTAACAACCAGTGATATGCAGGTGGCCCAACCTTGCTTGCTGAAAATAAAGAGCATTTGAAGACTTTACTGATGAAGATCAAAGTCTACAGCCTTAAGTATGGTTTGCACCTCAATGTAAAGAAAACAAAATTCCTCACAACTGGACCAATAAATAACATCATGATAAATGGAGAAAAGATTGAAGTTGTAAAAAACCTGATTTTGCTTCGATCCACTCTCAACACTCATGGAAGCAGGAGTCAAGAAATCAAATGAAGTATTGCATTACATAAATCTGCTGCACGAGACCTCTTTGTAGTGTTGATGAGCAGAGATATCAGTGTGAGGACCAAGGTGCACCTGACCCATATTTTCATTCACCTTATATGGACAAGGAAGAAGGAAGACCACAAATGAATTGATGGATTTGAATTATGGTGTTGGAGAAGAATATCAAAAGTACTATGACTGCCAGAAAAACACGAAATCAGTCTTAGAAGAAGTACAGTCAGAAGGCTCCTTGAAGACAGGATGGCAAGGAAGGATCAATCCCTGAAGAAGGGTATCATGCTTGGTAAAAAAGGGTTAGGGAAAAAGTGGAAGATGCCCAAAGAGATGAGCTGACACAATGACAGCAACTATGGACTCAAAATGAACAGTTGTGAGGATGGCTCAGGACCTAGTAATGTCTCATTGTGTTGTGCACAGGTTCACTTTGAGTTGGATTGGACTCAATGGCACTGAAGGACAACAATAACATTATTTAAAGGTGAAGTAAATCATTCCTCACCCAGTATTTGAAACTGTGGTATAAGCTTCCAGCTACGTTCATCCAGTGATGCTGGACTATCAGGGCTCCTAAGGTTGTCTGTTGTTTCTAAGAGGATTATCACTTCAGAAAGTTTGTGAAAATGTCTTAGAAGTTTTTTCAAATGTTCCAATGAGCCCCAGGAAGCAAAGAATCCAACACATGGGTACAATGTACTGTAAAGGGTCTACTGCAGAGTCAGAGAGGAGGGCAACATCTTATGATAGGGTAGTTGGGTAAAGTTGTGAAGTCAGCCCAAGCGTTTGCCCTTCTGTGGTGATTTGGATCCTCAGAGGTTGGCCTGAAGACTTGTGAATTAAAGAGCTCGGAAATTGATTACCAACTTATTACTGTAAGCACTGTAAGCTGGAGGTTCACTTACCCTACTCTTTCTCATGTAAAGGAGGGAAAGAGTGGCTGCCTGTTGTGTTGGTCTTATCCAGCTTTCTGCCTACACAGGGGCTTTCTTACCGAGATCTTCCTTTGCCCACTTACCCTCAGCGGAGGAGCTTCCCTTTGTTGTTTCTGTCCATGGTAAGAAGACTCAGGGATTGGGAGACTGTGGGAGGATTTAGGTCATTGTTCCAAGTTCTGCTCTGCTACTTATTAGCTGGTGACCTTCCTAAACCCCTATTCTCTCTAAACCAATTTACTCTATGCAAATGAGTGAGAGGAATACACAAGGGAATACACGCAAGGTGCTCTGTAAAATATAAATTGCTATTTCAGTGTGGGGTACCCTGGATGGAGCAACCAGTTAAGCACTCGCCTACTAGCAGATAGGTTCCTGATTTGAAGCCATCCAGAGGTGTTTCCGTAAAACAGGCCTAGTGATCTGGCTCCAAAAGGTCACAGCCCGGGAGAAGTTCTACTTTGCACACATGTGATCGCTGTGAATTGAAATCAACTTGACAGTAACTAACAACAACAGCAACATTCAGATGTGATTTATTATTTTATTGTACTTTTACTGTTATTGAATACATCCAAATATTATAGAAAAGACAAGTTCCCAGCACAGGAAGTGCGCTACCCCAAGAGGATCTCCCTGAACAAATGAAATCAGCTCTGTTCCCCAATCTGAGGAGAGCAGTCCCTTTGATGCTGCCCTCTACTGGCTGTTTAATAAATCTCTTGACCCCTGCTGCAGGCTTACTGGGGACCACAATACTGGCTGAGTTCTGTCTCCAGGAAGGTAGATCTGGGTCTTGGAATACTCAGCTGCTTTCTGGGGTGGCCACAGTCAGACTAAGCAGGCCACCCAGCCCTTACCCTGTTGTTCCTGTATCCTGTGTGGTGTGAATAGTGGGTAGACAATGAGATGAGGGCCCTCATGCCTCATCACGGGCACCTGCCGCCCCACCTGTTTCTCCACTAAAGCCTAGAACCAACTGTTTAGGATCTAACTGTGCCCTTGTTCATATTTCTCCCATCAAGTTGTAAATTGAGGTCCTTCACAACTGATCTCTCTGTGACTAGTTTTCTTCCCTCCACTGCATCCTACAGACTCTGGCCAGAGACCTTTTCCGCACAACCTGCCTCATAAAGACACAGTTTCTTTCCAGGGTTTCCTATCACTCGTGCCCTCTTTGCAATCCACAGTCTGCATTTCTGAGACAGCCAATCGTTGAACATTCTCCTCTTCCTTGCCTTCTCACTTCCCCTTAAATGAAGTAAAAGCACTTCTCATATCATGATGCAGCTCATTTGTCACCTCTCCAAGAAGCCTCCCCTAGATTGCCCTCACTTCGTGGTGCTGTCAAAACATTGTTATTGAGCTTATGCAATGGACTCATCTTGCGTTGTATTCTAGCTGTCTTCATGCTTACCTCTCCATGCTTCAGGCCATCTCTGTGGCACTGCATGTGCTCACGATCTAGTTTGAGAATTGCAATGAGGTAAATGGGAAATTAGTTAGTGGGAGACAGTTTGGGACCCCATGGCTCTTTTTTTATGAGGACAGAATGTCTGGATCGCCCTGGGCTGATGTTCTAATCAGAGGTGACAGCTGTCAGGCAGTGACACCTCACAGCATACACTGGAAATTGCTCATTCTTTTTCTGCTCAGCCCAAACTCAAATTCCCCTTAACATATTGTTGTATCAGCAGTATCACAGGATATTAATAAAATCAATTATTGGATAAAAATCACTGGTTTTCAAAGCTTCATTTTATGCTATTAGCAGGAGAGTGCTGTTTCAAAACGAGATAGCAAGAGAGAGAGAGAGAGATCAATTACTGGATAAGATCACGTGGTGCCTAAGATGAACGAGCAGCTGGCCTTCACTGGGCTAAGAGCTGAGCTGCTGTCTGCTGGGCCTGCCCTAGGCCTTTCTGAAGATGGTGCCAGAGTTGCATCTGGGTCACTGGTGGCTAAGGCCGGTTCTCAGTTCCCTAGGCTTAAGGGCAACTTTAGGGACTTGTAGAGCTACTCAAGTGACCATCTTATCCTTGGTGGCTATGCTTACCTCAGGGCACCAGCCCTCACCTTCCAGATTAGAATTAATGCAACAAGATTTTCCCAAAGATGCAGTTTTCCTATAGTTTGGATGAGCATGAAAGGTTTGAGCTTTGTTAGATCCAGACTGGCTTTCCTCAAGGAATGGTGGCACTAATCTCCATTGGGAAATGACCACCAACGGTGAGTGTGAGGCTCAAACTTCCTTCCTACTATGCAAAATGTCCCTGCAGGTAGCTGAGTTGTCTGTTTGAACTACAAAGTTGGTGGTTCAAACCCAGTCACTCCTTAGAAACCCTATACAGGGGGGCGTTATAAGTTGGAACCAGCTGAACGAGTTAACAACATAAATGGTAGCTTCAGGCATGGCTGTTCTGTTTGTTATTATTAATGCTGATGATTTTACTTTCCTCTGTGCCTGATCTTTGAGTCTACAATGCCAACATAATCTGGTTAGGTTCTGATGAACAGGGGCAGAAGGGGCTAGTGGAGGGCAGAGAACCATTCTCACAGACTTTTGTTCCTGTCACACAGCCTTCAGAAGTTGACTGGGATGATCTCTGGGACCAGTTTGATGAGCGGCGGTATCTGAATGCCAAAAAGTGGCGTGTTGGTGATGATCCATATAAGCTGTATGCTTTCAACCAACGGGAGAGTGAGCGGATCTCCAGTAATCGAGCCATCCCGGACACTCGCCATTTGAGGTACTTCCTCTTCCTCCCATTCTGTTACTCCAACCCTTTGTGTATTTATGACTATTGTGCACAGTATCAACAATTTGGGCAGGCAACCCACTTGCTGCTGGTTAGATGCTAAGGGCATTGTTGGTGTTGTCATTTCCAACCCTGTATAGTATTTCCAAGGAACAGCTGGTGGGCTTGAACCACCAACTTTGTAGTTCACAGTCCAGTGCTATGGTAATTGACCCCCATCTGTGCCACTCATTGCTGTGTGCCATATCTAAGCCCCTCCACTTTCCACAAAAACGTTGCAGAGAGTGGGAAGCCTCCTTCACCTGCACCTTGTCCCCTCATTCAGTGGCCACCCTTGCCATGAAATCAAAAGTTGCAATAGTTAGGGCCTGTTTTCCCCTGGCAGGTCCCCATGGCCCAGGCTGGCTTTCAGACTCAGCTAGGGGATGGTGGGCAAACCCTGACAAGGTAACTTGATCGTCTTTTCTGGAAGATAACCTTCCTGTGCCAGCCATGTGCATTTTCACATTTTGCCATGATAAGAGTAGGACCAGAGGGCCTCTGTACTTGACTTTGGTTTCGTTGTCTACTCTTAGAGTTCCCAAATCACACAGCCTCAATCTGTCCTCCCCTTACTAAGGCTGCATCTGCAGTTGCGTTATCAAGACCAAGCCTGGTGCTTTATTTTCCAGAAAAATGAGGTTCATTATCAACCCATCTTAGAGTAATACTAGCCAAGAGGCTTCTAATAGGCTAGTGGCTGCCTGAATAAGAAGGTTAGTGTCAATTTCAGTGTCTTCCTTTTGGGATCCAAGCTAAGAAACCCTGCTAAGCCAATGGTCTGTGCGACCGTGGTTCCTGTCTGCTGCGAGCCATTCAATTTGCGCCTGCCCCAAATAGAAGACTGGCATGTTTGGGGTATGATTGTTATGATTGGGTCCACAATCCCTGTCCATGGACGAAACAGGAAATCACACAGCATATTACATTGGGCAAATATGCTTCTAAAGACCTCATTAAAGTGTTAAAAAGTAAAGACTTTAAGGATTAAGGTGTACCTAACCAAAGCCACTCATCGCTTGTCTATCAGTTTGTCATACTGTGGTGGCTTGATTATTGCTGTGATTCTGGAATTTATACCACTTGGTACTTTAAATACCAGTCACCCATTTTGGACAGGTTTCATTAATCTGAGCTTCCAGATAAAGATAGACCACGAAAAGGAGAATCAGACTACTTCCAAATACTTAGTCACTGAATACCTTATGAATAGCAGTGGAACACTGTCTCATCAGAATATTAAAATACGATGAAGAGCACCAAATTATTGTGAACTGTGCAAGAGTCTCCTCCTCAAAGTAGAGTTGACCATAGTGATGCAAATGGAATAAAGCTTTCGGGAACTTTATTTGCTGATAGGGCAGAACTCAAAATGAGAAGAAACAGCTAAAAACATCCATTAATAATCAAAACATGGGATGTACAAGTATAAATCTAGGAAAATTGGAAATTGTCAAAAATGAAATGGAATGCATAAGCATCAAGATACTAGGCATAGTTGTTTGTTGTTGTTAAGTGCCATCAAGTTATGAGTTGAAATGTACTGGCATTGGTCATGTTTAATCTGACAACCACATGGTTTAATATAACGGGAATGATATATTGAAGAGGAATGGCATCACATTCATCATCAAAAAGAACATCTCATGATCTATCATGAAGTACAACATTCTCTGTGATAGGATAATAGCCATTTGCTCACAAGGAGCCCTGGTGTGGCACAGTGAGTTAATGTGGTGGACTGCAAGGTCTGTTTGAACTGTAAGGTTGGTGGTTCAAATTCACCAGCTCTTCCTTGGGAACCCGATGCAGGGTCCTTAAGAGTCAGAACTGACTTGATGGCACTTAACAACAATAACATCACAAGAAAGACCTGTTAATACAACTATTATTTAAATCTATGCACCAGCCACTAAAGGTAGTGATGATAAAATTGAAGAATTCTACTATCTTCTTAAGTCTAAAATTGATGAAATATGTAATCAAGATGTATTGATAATTATTGATGATTGGGATGCAAAGGTTGGAAACAAAGAGAAAGACTCAGTTGTTGAAAATAAGATCTTGGTGATAGAAATGAGACTGGAGACAGCATGATAGAATTTTGCAAAGCCAGTAGCTTACCTGTTCATTGCAAATAGCTTTTAAAAACAACATAAGAGACAACTATACATATGAACCTCACCAGATGGAATACACAGAAATCAAATTAACTTCATCTGTGGAAAGAGATGGTAGAAAAGCTCCATATCATCAGTCAGAACAAGGCCTGGGGCAGACTTGGAACAGATCATCAACTGCTCATATCCAAGTTCAGGATGAAGCTGAAGAAAATAAAACAAGTCCATGAGAGCCAAAATATGACCTTAACATATATCCCACCTGAATTTAGATACTATCTGAAGAACAGATTTGATGCCTTAGACACTAAGGACCAAAACACCATAAGAGTTGTGGGATGACATCAAGAACATCATACAAGAAGAAAGCAAAAGATCCTGAAGAAGACAACAAAGAAGGAAAAGAACAGAATGGCTGTCAGAAGAGACTGAATTTTGCTGTTCAGTCGAGATGCTAACTAAAGTAAATGGAAGAAATGAGGAGGTAAAATAACTGAATCGAAAAATTCAAAGGGCAGCTCAAAAAGACAAAGTCAAATATAATAAAGTATGCAAAGACCTAGAATTAGAAAAACAAAAGGGAATAACATGCTCAGCACTTCTCAGACTGAGCAAACAAAAGAAAAAATTGAGACCTCAAATTGCAATATTGAAGGATTCTATGGGCAACATATTGAATGACGCAGAAAGCATCAAACGAATGAATAGAGAGAAATACTGTTAATTGATGGTAAATGGAGGGGATTATAATCATTGTAATGAAACAAATTATATGATTTATTGAATGTAAAACTGATGATCTGCCCTGTAAACTTTCACTCAATTCACATTAAACACTTAAAAAAAAAAAAAAAAAGCAGAAAATGAAAGGCCAGCAGGACAGGACTCAAGGTTAGTGAGTGATACATATATTGTTCCACTATTAAATAGTTTTCTCTTGGTCATACACTTCTCCTGGACAATGTAACTCTTCATCTGTGCTAACCTTGCTAATTAGAGTATGAATAACTACCATGAGAATATGCTCAGTGCTAGGCAATTTAGAATGAAAATCTCATTTAGCTATACAACATGATGAAGCAACTTATTTCTCTGAATTGTTCGTGTAAAAAAAAAAATTGGTGAAGGCTTTGTTATATATATTTTAACACAATAAAATAATATTTCCTCTAAAACAAACAAACAAAAACAAAATGAAAGGACTACAGTCACCGTGCCAAAAAGAAATGGTTGATGTTCAGCTATTGCAAGAGGTAGCATATGGCACAAGAACACCCACACTTACAGATAGTACCCTTTTGACCTAACATCAATGGCTGGATAATCAGAACACAACTAGAGGAAAAAAGAAGAGGAAAAAAAGAGTAACCCACTACAGTTGGATGAACTTGACCTATGCAGTATGACAAAGAAGAGAACAAATCTTTACAGTGAAGATCATTCCCACCCCCTTGGTACACAGGATCGACAAGGGGAACTTAGATATTGGCCACCCAAAATGGGCGGGGTGGGGGGGAGGGTGTGCGGCTACAAAGGCAATAAGTGACTGACTTACAAGCTTTCAATAGGGAACTTAGTTGCAGAGGGCACGGGGAAAGGTAGACTCTCCACTGAGTTGTTTCCAACCTGTCTGGATGGGGTTGATAAAAGGTGAGAGGGATAAGACTCCTATGGTTCAATAGGGAATGACTGCTATCAGGTCTGACAGAGAATGTTGGAAAGGTAAATGTAAACGTTTTGTAACAAAAGGAGGGGAGTGGCTGATTTTGCAGTCCAGGAGTGGAGATCCCTGGAACCATCAAGGGAGAAAAGCAAAGTGTGGGACACTGTGCAGGGAAGCAGTAACACCAGGGATGGAGGCAGAGAGGATGACATGGAGAGAAGGAGAGGCTGGAGACTCTGGGAGGGAGAGGGGCTATGTGCTGGCAGCCAGGGGGCAGGCGTGTAGGGTGTACCATTTATTTGGTTGATGATGCATGCAGTGGATTGTAATCATTGCAATGAAACAAAATACAATAAGATGAATGTAAAGATAATGTTCTCCCATGTAAACTAACACATAATTCACAATAAAAACTTAAAAAAAAAAAAAAAAAAGAAGAGATAGCATATGATCAAGAGCTAATGGTACTGAAGGAAGAAGTCCAAAGTGCACTGAAGAACGCATTGGCAAAGAACAGCCTCCAGGAATAGGTGGAATACAAATTGAAATTCTTCAACAAACTGATGCAGCACTGGAGGCACTCATTCATTTATGCTAAAAAATTTGGAAGATTGGCCAACTGACTGAAAGAAATCTGTATTTTTTCATACCAAAGAGAGGTGACCTGATGGATTGGGGAAATCATAGGACAATATCATTAATATCACATGCAAGTAAAATTTTGCTAATGATAATTCCAAATCGGCTGCAACGGTGCATTGACAAAGAACTGCAGGAGGTTCAAGCCGGATTCAGAAGAAGATGTGAAACAAGGGCTATCACTGCTGACGTAAGATGGATTTTGGCTGAAGCAGAGAATACCAGAAAGATGCTTGTTGTTAAGTGCTGTCGAGTCAGTTTTTAACCATAGCAACCCTGTATATGGTTTCCAAGGAGCAGCTGGTGAGCTTGAACTGCTGACCTTGCATTTCAAACTGCTTTGCAGTCTGGTGCATTTAACCCACAGCGCCACACCAGGACTCCAGAAAGATGCTTACCTGTGCTTTATTGACTACACAAAGGCTTTCGATTTTGTGGATCATGACAAGCTATGGACCACATTGCAGAGAACGAGTATTCAGGAACCTGTGCATAGACCAAGAGGCAGTTGTTTGAACAGAACAAAGGAA